ATGTTCAATAATTATCACCCAAATGAGCCCCCACTAAGAAAGAAGAGCCACCCAGGCTGGGTGTCACCTGCTCTGAAGCACAGACGGCCAGCGGGAGGGCTGGTGGCCCCAAGGAAGGAGGGGGAGGTGGCTGCAGCCCAGCCAGGTGGCACAAGCTGGGACCAGGCTGCGAGCATCACACCCATGCCGGGGAAAAATCCTCCCTAGTCAATATTAGCAGCGTTTGCTCCAACCTAGTGCTCAAATTCTTCTCATTTCTGTCAAATCAGGCAGCCCTTTCAAACCTTGCTGGGTAATGCTGCAAAGGCCGGTCTACATCTGCTAATGACAAAAAAAAATAACACAGAGGCACGGGATTCTGCCAGCCTGGAGCAGGGCCCCGGAGCTGCGGGCGGATTACTGCCCCAGGTACCCCATTTGATGAGAATGGCTGAATTAGCATTTCACTCTCCACCAAAGTCTAAGCTATCTCTACAGGAACAGCTGCTAAACTATTTGCAAAGTTCAAAGAGTACGTATTAATATTATTATTTTTTTTTTTTTTTTTCCTTCCCCGAGTCACATTCTTCAGATTCCCATGTAAGCTGCTTAGAAAGGGCCACGCCAGCTGTTGAAGAATGAAGATTACAACGTCCCGCTAATGCAGAGCTGGAGAGATTGAAAGGTATTCTTATTTATTCCTGTTATGCACACGTGGCCGCACGGGAAGGGGTTAAAATGGGGAAGAAAACGCCGCTTTGCCAAACAGGTGTCCTTGAGCGGTACCCAAGGACACGGAGATTGCTAATCCTGTATTCCACAGCATGATCAAATCACCAGGCAACAGATATAAATAAAAAAAGGCAGGAAATAAGGAAATTTAGATACAAGTGTGTCAGAGGGAAAATGAAGATTCATTGTGAAGAGGCTGAGAAGAGAAGAAGGAACAAAATGACAAAGGCACAAATGATAAACCAGTACGAAGGAAAGAAAAGGGGAGGGTGGGGGGGGGGGAGAAACCTCTCTATGAAATACATGTCTGTGACAGCAGCAGCCAAATCAAAGATGCTCCTAGATTATATGGTTTCTCGCATAATGCGCATTCTGGTTCCCGCTCGGTGTTTGTCTTTCAGCTCCTGCACAGGGGGAAAAAAAAACAAACCCACCCTATCTGAAATGGGACGTGAGCAACCTTTATTTTGCTTGTTTCATCAGGAGGAGAAAGCAAATTTGCTTTGTGGGAGCAGCAGCACCTGCTCAATGGCAAATAAATAGCTACAGCTTTGATATTACAGTGCGTATAATCATTAGCAGCACAAATGGCAGAGGGTTAACCCTCCGCGTGCCGGCCTGAGCTCTCTGGCAAAGGGGAGGCATCTTGTTTCTGCCTCAGAAATGCTCCACGCAGCATCTGTGGGGCAAGCCAGGCTGAGGTTCTGCCTATCTGGGGGGCACAGGACCACCCCTCTGAGCCCGAGGCACTAGTAGGGTGGCTATAAGCCCCTGGTACTGGGCTTTCCTCCTCCCTTCGGCACTGGCAGGGCAGCCACCCCATGCTGTACGTAACTCCTCTGTGTGTGATGTAGCCAGGAGGGATGGACAGATGGATGGACACACCTGCAGGCACAACGGGGCACGTGCCAGGGGCTCCTGACACCCGGAGGGGGACCACAAGCCCAAAACTCCCTGACTGAGGTTGGGTTTATAGAATCATAGAATCATTGAGGTTGGAAGAGACCCTTGGGATCATCGAGTCCAACCTCTCGCCTACTCTACAAAGTCCTCCCCTACACCATGTCCCTCAGCACTGCATCTAAACGGCCCTTAAACACAGCCAGGGATGGGGACTCCACCCCCTCCCTGGGCAGCCTGTTCCAATGCCCGACCACTCTTTCAGTGAAAAATTCCTTCCTAATGTTCAATCTAAACCTGCCCTGTTGGAGCTTGAAGCCGTTCCCTCTCGTTCTGTCGTTAATTACCTGTGAGAAGAGACCAGCACCAACCTCTCTACAGTGTCCTTTCACGAAGTTGTAGAGAGTGATGAGGTCTCCCCTCAGCCTCCTCTTCCTCACACTAAACAGCCCCAGCTCCTTCAGCCGCTCTTCATATGATTTGCCTTCCAGGCCCTTCACTAGTTTCGTTGCCCTCCTCTGCACTCGCTCCAGCACCTCCAGATCTCTCTTGGATTGAGGTGCCCAAAACTGGACACAACCTGCTCTGAACCCCGTCCCCAGTTGCTCCCTGCCTCTCCTGCCCGCTCTCCTCCCACAAGGCAGGGCCCAAAGCACACCCAGGGCTGGGGAAACGCTGCGCTGCTTGGGAAGTGGGAAATAAGGTTTGGAATCCTCATGTGAGGCAGAAACCAGCAGTGGTATAAATGACCACTTAATAACTGCATGGCGGGGCTGAGGTCTGCACATCAGCCCTCTGGAGATGTGATGCCTCAGTCCCATCCCGAAAATCTCAGGCCATGAGGGATCCCAGCCCAAAATCACATCCTCCAGCCTCAAATCTCCCCTCTTTTCTCATGCCAGGAAGAGGGGAAGCTTTCTTGAACTAAAACCTTGGTCCTAATTGAGCAAGGATGTCCAGATTTGGCTCTTGCTTGTCTACTTAGACACCTCTGTCTTGGCTTTTCCCCCGGGTTGTCTCCTGCACTGCTTTCTGCAGTGAGGATATGAAGATACTCAAAACCACTGCTGTCACTAGAGCCAGGAGCAGCACAACGGGTGAAATACTTCCCCTTTCCATCCCTTTCCCAGATGCTCCTGCTCGGTGATGAGCTGAACCACGGTTTGGTGCAGACACGTGGCAGTCTGGACTCCCAGGTCCCAGCAGGATTTTGGCCAGTGAAAGCATCACCACGAAGCTGCCCTGCTCAGTCACCATCCCCTCCCAGAGAGCAGTTGGCATGGGATGCTTGCCTTCACCTGGCCAGGGAGAAAGGGCCTGCAGGACACCCTAGGCACTTGTTTTCACGTATTAAAGACATTTTGTTAAGGTTTTTTTTGTTTGTTTTTCCTTTTTCCTTTCCCTTGCATCACCTTATGAATCGAAACAAACTCAAGTGGGGCTGCTGGCAGGGGAGAGCAAACGGGGACCAAAGAAACTCTTTTCCAGCTGAACACTTCCAGAGCGAACGTGCCCCAGCGCACAAACCGGCGACGAGGTGCCAGAGCCAAAGATAAACAGTGTCCCTGCAGCTGGAGTCCCGGGCAGGGAGGGAGCTGTCCTGGGAGAAAAGTATACAGCTGGAGACAAAGCCAGGAAGTTAATATTTAAGCATTCAGACAAGGAACAAATGACTTAATTAAATCAATTACAGAGGGAGAAATGGAGCCACTTAGAAAGCGTGTGTAAAGAGACGGCGAGGCTGCTGCTATCTCAGAGAAGGAGGAAGAGTTAGCAGGGAAGATAAACGGGCTGGGCTAATCCCTGCTGTTAATTAAGAGCCCAGCATTTGCACTGCGCTGAGTCAGGGTGGCACCAGCAATTCCATTATATAAGCCACATTTACAGCCACGCTCAGTGCCCCATCTACAGAGACATTTGTAAGCAGATGGAGGAGGGGAGAAGCAGCACGAGATGTTGGGAGGGATGAAAGCAGGAGAAAGAAGTGACATAAAAGCTCTTCCATGCTCCTGAACCTCTCACACCTTGCAGCAACAGCCCAAACCCAGCCCCTGCCCTGCCCCATCCCGGGCAGCAGGGCTGGGGTCAACCTGCTGCACAAGGAAGGGATCTTCCTCCCTTCTTCAGCACAGGAAATTCCTGTGTGGTCCCCCAGCGACCCATCCAAAGTGGTTTGCAAGCCCCGAGACATGCGGGGCAAGACAGAGGAGAAAAGAGGGGGGGTCATGAAAACATCAAACCAACACTTTGCAAAGTATGGACACTCTAGATGGATCAGCAAAAGGGCTTTCATCCCAGAAGATGCCTTGCTCTTATTGCTGGTTTGGTGAGGGGTGGAAAGCAAGGCTATTTCCCTAGCATGACTTCCAGTTAAATGACTTTTTCCTCCCTTCCCAAATGTAGCTGCTGCAGATGCTGGCCATGGACAACCAAGGAGAGACAGAGCCAGGCTGAAGTTAGCAGACAGGCAGAAGGGCTCACCACTCATGGGGGGACTGTCAGTGAAAGCACATTTGGGTTCAGAGACACATCACACCCAGTGGCAGATCTTGCTCTGCCTGATAAAAAGACATACTTGCTCTGGAAAGGGTTCCCTGGGGTTTGCTCAATAGGCAACAAGCAATTACAGCCTTTTGTAACCGACTCGGCATCAACGAAACCGTTAAAGCAGGACTTGGTAGTCTCCACATGAAGCAGACTCAAAGTGGCTGACAGCTTTGGGGCAGGAAGGTTTCCTCTGTGAGGCCACTTCAGACATCTCCCTCCGAAGCTTTTAAAGCCTCAACGTTAGATTTCAGGCCAGTGATGTAGAGAGTTAATAGTTTTTAGCCCGTTGCCGTCACTCCTTGTAAGTAAATAAGCAAACACAAACCCATCTCTCATCTACAGCTGTAAAAACCTCACGTCAGGGAAAGGCCACTGATGTGTTTGCAAAGTATGATCATCTCAAGAATAATTAGTTGTCAGAAAAATTTGCTTTTCCCCATGTAACAACAGAGGGTTTTTTCTAAAAGAGGGGCAGAGGCAAAGCAAACAGCGTATGCTTCTGCCACCCCATCCCTGCCCTGCCTGCCAGGGGGGTCAGACCTTCAGACATGTGGGTGCCAAACGCCACCCAGGGAGGTGTTGAAGGGCCAGGTCACGTCCCCACCACACCATGTTGGGGCACACAAACCACTCCAGCATCCCTTCAAGTGGCAGTGGCCACTTCAGCATCGGTCTGGACAATAAGCCTCCGTCTCTGTGCATATGCTTCAGGCTGTTCAAGCCCCTGGCCACGCTCCTAATGTCCCTGGGGAGACTCTGACGCTCTGTACCACGGAAAAACATATTGAAACAGTTGGAAAAAAAAAAAAAAAAAAAAAAAAAAGAAGGCATCATTAACTCACTTGTTTTTGTTCTTCTCCCAAACTGTCCCACATGGACGCAACGATTTTCGATACGTCTCCAAAGGTGGCGTTGGGGTTTTGCCCTTTGATGGCTGCTTGTGTGTCTCTGAAGAACAGGGCATAGGCTGACACGGGCTTCTGGGGCTCATTGGGATCCTTCTTTTTCTTCTTCTTTTGGCTTTTGGGCTTTTTGCCCAGGTCTGTTGATGGTCTTTTCTCTCCAGTAACCTGCAAGAGATGAACCTTAGCACTCAGCTGGGAGTAGTTCAAAACGAGTCCCTGCCACAGCTTGTAAGCAAAGGGGATGAGAAAGCGCATGGGTAGGGAAGGGCTCCCCATGCAGCGAGGAGGGCAGTGGCCCTGGGGACCTCTTTGGCCCCCAGGAACCTCCAGAACCATTGCACGAACTGCTGGTGGGTGCCTGAGCCCAGTTTGGGTGCCCTCTCACAGTCCAGGTCACAGCTTGGGTTTGCCCCTTGGTCTCTGCTCATCCTCAGTTACCCCCTTCCTCCTCCTCCCCCCCCGGCATCACAAGCTCGTTCCCTCCTTGATGCTCTTCTGGGACCTCTCCAAACCCCTTGCATTCCAGCCAGATCCCTTGAGCAGTCTGAATTTTTCCAAAATTGGCTTCCACATAGTTTCTGATTTCCAGCCCAATAATCCCTCCTGGCAAGCTGCTTCAGACTGTCCTTGCCCCCAACATGTGCCAGCGGCTCAGCTTTCCTGCTCTGGAGGCAGCAGGGTCATGAGCACTGACCAAGCAGCACCACCATCCCGTTGGCCATCACACTGGGGCCATCCAAAATTTGCTTCACCCTGCTAAAAGGTATGTACCCCTATCCAGGAAAAATATTCAGGAATTAAACTATTTTAATCTTATGTATTCAATCACAGAATCATAGAATCACAGAATGGTTCGGGTTGGAAGGGACCTTAAACACCATCCAGTCCCAACCCCCTGCCCTGGGCAGGGACACCTCCCACCAGAGCAGGTTGCTCCAAGCCCCCTCCAACCCCTCCAGGGATGGGGCAGCCACAGCTTCTCTGGGCAACCTGGACCAGGCTCTCACCACTTTCAGAGTGAAAATGTTCTTCCTGAGATCTGATCTAAATCTCTCCTCTTTCAGTTTGAAGCCATTACCCCTTGACCTATCACTACGTGCCCTTGAACAACCCCAACTCATTCAGCCTGTCCTCATAATGGCCACAACCACTGCAGAGCTGTGGTGGCAAAGGTGTGGTGGCTGGTGGAGCAGGCTTGGGGGGACCTCTGGTCCAGGAACTGTGGGAATGGGGGCTCTGAGTCATGATGTGGTGGGGGAGTCATGGCCATGGCATGAAGACTCCTAACAAGGAGAGGGGTTGGGGACTTGATCCTGAGATTCCCCTGTTTTGGTTTAAAACAGTTCCCCCTCATTGTGTGGTGTCCTCATAATGGGCACAACCACTGCAGAGCTGTGGTGGCAAAGGTGTGGTGGCTGGTGGAGCAGGCTTGGGGGGACTTCTGGTCCAGGAACTGTGGGAATGGGGGCTCTGAGTCATGATGTGGTGGGGGAGTCATGGCCATGGCATGAAGACTCCTAACAAGGAGAGGGGTTGGGGACTTGATCCTGAGATTCCCCTGTTTTGGTTTAAAACCGTTCCCCCTCGTTGTGTGGATCCCCTCCCTGATCCCAAGTCCCTCCCCATCTCTCCTGGAGCCCCTTGAGGGACTGGAAGGGGCTCTAAGGTCTCCCCAGAGCCTTCTCTTCTCCAGGCTGAACCCCCCCAACTCTCTCAGCCCCCCCTCCCAGCAGAGGGGCTCCAGCCCTCCCAGCATCTCCGTGGCCTCCTCTGGACTTTCTCCAACAGGTCCATGTCCTTTCTGTGCTGAGGACTCCAGAGCTGGACATAGTGCTCCAGGTGGGGTCTCACGAGAGCAGAGCAGAGGGGTGGCATCACTTCCTTAGCGTCCCTTAAACGCTTTGCATGCACCACCCACCCTTTCTGACCATGCTGGATGACTGGGGCTGGCTGTATCCACCAACCTGTGGGTGGTTGAACCAAGGGGAGCAGGACACAGGCAACAGTAGTTGGATTTTGTGGCTGCTCAGCATGAGATGCTGCCACCGGGCTGGGATGTAAAACTGGATGTCAACCTCCAGTGAAGGCAGCAGAGAAAGAAGAGCCTACGGCTGAGCCCCGGGCAGCGTGTTCAATATATGGGACTGCAGCAGCCTCTGTGTGATGGTGTGCGAAGGAGAAGACCCCTGGAAAGCACTTGGACATACATCAAAGCTCTCAAGGCATTAACCGCGGTCAGCGAGAGCTCGCACTACAGGGAAGCACCATTATCCTTATTTTATAGCAGAGGAAAAACTAAATACACCAGAGGTTAAACACGGCAGAGAATAAAACTGCTTGCTGCCAGCTGGCTGCTCCAGCCTGATCTGGGCATCCTGGGGGGCAAACAGAGTACCAGCACCTCCTCCTGCAGACCCACTGGCACCGAGCACTCAGCCCCTACCTGACTTCGGCAGGCCAAGCTCTACCAGGGGCTAATTATACCACCTGCTCTACCAGGTGCCTGGACTAATTACCATAGAATCATAGAATGGTTTGGGTTGGAAGGGACCTTAAAGATCATTGAGTTCCAACCCCCTGCCCTGGGCAGGGACACCTCCCACCACACCAGGTTGCTCAAGACCCCATCCAGCCTGGCCTTGAACCCCTCCAGGGATGGGGCATCCACAGCTTCTCTGGGCAACCTGTTCCAGTGTCTCACCACCCTCAAAGTAAAAGAATTTCTTCCTGAGATCTAATCCAAATCTCTTCTCTTCCAATTTAAAACCTTTGCCCCTTGTCCTGTCACTGCACTTCCTGACAAAGAGTCCCTCTCCAGCTCTTCTGTAGCTCCCTTCAGATATTGATAGGCTGTTATAAGGTCTCCCAGGAGCCTTCTCTTCTCCAGGCTGAACAACCCCAGCTCTCTCAGCCTGTCCTCACAGCAGAGGTGCTCCAGCCCTATGAGCATCCTCCTGGCCCTCCGCTGGACCCGTTCCAATAGGTCCATGTCCTTTCTGTGTTGATAATTACATCACTTAGAAAGTTGCCCAGTCTGTCTCTTAGAGGTCTAAAAAAAAAAAATAATTAAAGAAACTGATTTACGCAGGTCTAAACGCCGAGCCTTTGAGAGAACTGTGCCTCCTTGGAGAGAACTGTGCCTCCCAGTGAGTGCTGGGAGCAAAAGGCCTTTTTTTCTCCTGCTGGATTTGCTGATTTGACTGAGTGTTTGGGAAGTGCTGGGATGGAAGGGGCTTCGTTTCAGCTGGCTCAGGCCGGGCGCGGGGAGGAAAGGGCAGCAGCGCTCCTGTTCTCCGCTCAGCAGCTCTTGACCGGTCATTACGTTCAGTATCAGCGCAGTGACATTTGTCAAACAGACAGTGACCATTAGTGAACGAGCAGAGAGACCAAAAAAAACCACTGCGTTTAATTTAAAATTGCCCAATTGGGCTTGAATGGGAGGCCGGGAGGTGAAAGGCCAGCTTATTAAGAGAAAAAAAAATCAAGCATGACAGGGCTTCAGCCCATTAGCAAGTGAGATGGTATTTTAACTAACTGTAATCCTGGTTGATTCACTGAAGTGCCGTGGGGGGGACCTGCTCTCCTCGCAGCCGTTGACCAAGCGAAGCAGCCACCAACGGGCACCATCCAACCACGGCCACGACAGTGGTTTTACTGTTGGTCCTGCGCAGGCAGCACCGAGGAGAAAATGGTGTTTATGGAAAACGGACGCTGCCAGGAGGGAACAGAGCAGATAAAGACTTTGCCTGGGGTTCACCAGGTGTGACCCAGCACGGGACGAGACAACAGCAGAAGATGCTTGAACCACCAAAGCCACGTTCATGGCTAAAGACAAACCCTGGTGAGCCAGCAGCTCACTGCCCCAGGGGAACGGCATCTCCCAAGGGCTAAGGCATGGGCGAAGTGGCCATGAGGGCTCATGCAGGGGAGTGAAGCTCATGGCCACCAGCCCCTGCATGGACCCGCTCTGGAGAGGCAGCAGAAGGTATGTTTAACACCAGATGTGGACTGGGGCAACTCCCCGGTGACAGATGTGATCCTACAAACTGGCGGCTTGGTGCCTTCTTAGATGTTGAACCCATGAAGAGCAGGAACCTCATGGACACCAGGATTTTAATAACCATGGAGAAAGACAGCTAATCCAACTGGGATCTGGGCTACAACTTCCTCTCCCTCTCATGCATGTGTGCAACCCCCCTGAAGCAAGTAAGTGCATCAGTGAGGCCAGGAGGCCTCCTAGAATCACAAGCTCCCTGACTCTGAGGACCTACAGGACCTGAAGCACCCTCTGCCACCAGACCCTTTTCTTTACCGTGTGACCTTCTCGGTGACAGGATTATTTCCGTGTGTCAGACAGCACTTTGATGACTTGTTGCAGAAAGGCCCTTAATGGCCATATGAGAAATGACTGATGGGTGAGGACAGCAGCTGCGCAGATCGAGAAAGCAAACAGAAACCTGCAAGCCACAGTGGGTTCTGCTGCTTTCTTTACACTTATGATCTCCTTCCTCCATCAAACACACCACTCCTGTCCCACCTGCCTTGCTGGGTAGTTTACAGGGCAGAAAAATGAGGGGGAATGCCTTTAGGATTAGGAAAAAATTCTCTAGTTTACAGGGCAGAAAAATGAGGGGGAATACCTTTAGGATTAGGAAAAATTCAAATCTTTGCAAGTTGTCATAATTTGGACATTGGATCTCCAGATTCTTCCTACCCCCACAGGCATCACTGGCTCAATGAGAACAGAAGATCCAACCCCAAAACTGAGTCCTTCCCAGTGACTCCTGTGGCCCCAGCTGGCCAGGAGAAAAGCTGGGTGATGCTGGAAGAGGCGGAGTGAGAGTATCTGGTCTGCAATGAAGCTGCAACTCATTTTCTGTTGATGTGAAAGATTTCAGCTCCCAGTTAATTGCCTGGAGCTGTGTGACATGGGCTCTGGGAGGTGGGAGATGGTGGGGTCCAGCAGCACAACCCATCCCACAGTGTCCCCCAAATGTGGAATCGCAGAGTTTGAGAAACTCCATCTATTTTCAGTCATGTGTATCCCTTCTTTTTACAGTTTCATTCCACTGAAGCTCAGTTTTCACATCCATGTGTGCACTCTGCTTTCAAATCCTATCTGAAGTGAAAGCTGACAGATGAAAAACTAACAGACTGATAGGAATACAGTTCCCTAGATCCCATAGAACCATACAATTATTTAGGTTGGAAAAGACCTTTAAGATTTCCAAGGAAAGGGAAAGGCTTTTGCTCAGTCCTATCATTTTCCTGGCTTTCTGGTCTCTGCACTGTTTGCTGTTCTGGTTACACATGCAAATTCTGGTTTTTAGGGGACAAGGTTACAATACCAGCGCTTCTGCTGTCATCTTTGGATCAACACCTTCCAGGAGCTGGTCTCCTATGAAAGGCTTCAATCAAAGCCCTCCAGGGAGCCCAATGTCTGACCTGCAGGCACAGAGGCCCACCGGGCATCGAGGCAGCAACCCTGCAATGGCTGCAATTTGTCCTCAGTACATAACAGACGAAGACCCACAGAACACAGCGCGTCTTGTTTGCTTTGCTGCTGCATTTTGAGAAAGACGGGCAACAACCCAGATGTCCCCAAAACCCTAGGAGATCCTTGGGTTTCTGGACGTCATGCTCACCAGCAGTTGTGCTGTCTCCAGAGGCTGACTCTGTGCCACTAAGACATGGCTGAATACCTAACATGCTGCCAGGGCAAACTAAAAGGCAGAAGACTCTTTCTCTTCTGATTTCTGACTTTTTTTTCCCTTAGCAAGCCATGCGCAGAGAGCTCAGTTAAATCCCACCCTGTGTTACAGTCCTTCCCGGTTTTACTCTCCCCTACCTGCTGCCAGAAATCTAACTTGGCACCCGAGCCTTTGCAGAACCTGAGCCCTGAACCTGCTTTTCTCACCAAAACCCTCAGCGGAGGAAACTCTGCAGCTTGATGGGCCTGGGAAACCACGGAGAGAAAAAACCAGCTCTTACTGCCAAACTTTTTCCATGCACAACCCAAGTGTGTGTGCCAGGCTGCCATGCTGGGCCTAACCCTAGACTGGAAACAATCTCCCCATCCTTGGGAAAGTCTCCCACTCTCTCTCTCTATTTTTAAAAAACCAGAAGAGAGCCTGTGCTCTCTTTTAGTGCAATTTATCCCTCACCGGAAAACATGAGATGCCGTTTTCTCGCTGCGTGTTAACACAGGCGTGACTGCACGTACCTTATAATGTGACTCTGTCTCCTCTTCCTGAGTAGAACTGGAAGGAGATGGTGTAGCAGACTTACTTCCCGGGGGCGAGGGGGAACTGTGGGTAACACCGCTCCGCATCCCCATCTGAGAGATCAGCTGTGACTGGCTGAGAGCGCTCATGGGGCCGGCTAACATCCCGGGGCGGTTGAGCAGGGGCACTTGACGGTTGGACTCATAGGACGTGGCCTCCGAGTGGACCATCTCCTGGATCTGAGTTAGGAGAATATCACTTTGTAGTTAAAAGAGGTAGGTATTTATTTATCATACTGTCAAATCACTTTACCATGAACTCTTTACCCACTGATTTGAAATTATTCTACGCAGGCTGGTGAAGTCTTCCTGGTGCCCCCTTCCAAATAAGCCAGGAGCAAGAAACGAACACCGTGCAACCTGGGGCTCTGCTCCTGCCATCTCCCTGCCCGTGGAGACTACAGAGATGTGCTAAATTCTCTTTGTACAAACATCCCTGTGTCCAGGAGGTGCCCCTGCCTGCCTCAGCGACCAGTGGTGTCTGGTACCTACCAGGGGGCTGAAAGAAAAGCTCAGAAATGAGCAGTTTTTGGCCAAACAACCGGAAGAAGGGAGAGTGTTCCAATGTCCTGTGCATTTCTGGGGCCAAGCCTTGCTCTGCACACGTGAGGCCATCGCTGAGCACCAGCACTTGTCATGCCACGGTGTTTGGGACCCATGGCTGATAGCCCAGCCCCAGTACCTCAGCGATGAAGTCCTAGAGGCTGTAGACCCCAAATATGCTCTTTCTGAGTCATACTTGGTGTTGGCATTTAGAAACTGCACAGATTAAAAAATATCTGCTTGTCTGAATTTATGAAGGTGCCACAAGCAAACCTTCTGCATCATCTGTACGGCCCTTGGTCGTTAGTACTAATAGGGTTAACCTAGCAAGCCCAAAAGCCATCAGTGGAAGCCTCAGGTCCCCACTCCCACCACATTGGTCTGTCCAAAGCTGTGACACCACCATCAAGCCACAGGGTTCTACGTCCCCGAGCCCCAGAGGCAGCAAGCACCAGGGCATGGCTTGAGATGGACCCCAATGTGTGGGGGCAAGCTCTGCTGGTGGCCATCACCTCATTACAGCTTCTCCAGAAGACAGAATCACAGACTGGCAGGGGTTGGAAGCGACCTCTGGAGATCATCTAGTCCAAACCCCTGCCAGAGAAGGGTCACCAGAGTGGGTTGCACAGGAACATGTCCAGGTGGGTTTTCAATGTCTTCAGAGAAGGAGGCTCCACCACCATCAGGGCTCTGCCACCCTCAAAGTAAAGAAATTTTTCCTCATGTCAAGATGGAATTTCCTGTGTTCCAGTTTGTGCCCGTTGTCCCTTGCCCTCTCACTGGGCACCACTGAGAAGAGTCTGGCCCCATTCCCTTGACACCCACCTTTAGATATTGATAAGCATTGATGAGACAACTTTTCTGATTTTAAATACTGTAAACAGTTGCAATCCCACTCGAAATGAATGTAGCAGAAAGAAAAAGAAAAATCCACACGAGGGCAAAGAGAATTACTGGCTGCGTGTTCAGATGTCCCAGTGAGGGACGGGACCAGAAGCAATGCATGACATGATGATGTAGAGGCATAAGAGATGCGAGAGGTGGGTACCTGATAGAGTTGTCCCCCAAAATAAAGAGTTTCCTAACACCTATTTATCTGTTCTCATAGGATGAGAGTGAAGGGACATCTAATGGGACTGAAAGGGGACTAATCACACAGGGCTGCCGGGCGCACGGAGACGGCACAGGCCGTCGGCACCAGCACTGCCTCCTGAGGCTGCTGAGCCAACAGCCTGCAAAGATTTGAAAGAAAAATGAAACAGATATATATATATATATATATATATATATATATATATATATATATAAAAGAAATGTTGAATGTTACATTAGTCAAAATAAAAATATCTTACAGAGCTTGTATCCTCCCATGTCACGGCATAAACTGAAGTTCAAGTGGTCGGGTCAGGCAGGAGTAGCCACAACCCCCTGCCCTGGCCATGGAGGGGAGATGAGATGAGATGGGGACAAACCTGGCTGTGCTGTAGGTGCATGGAAGATTTTGGGGCTGCCCTGCTGTCGTTTGAGCCAAGACCCCATTTCCAGTTTGCACAATTTTCCCTGAAAACCCCATTTTCACCCCAGGATCCATTCTTGCCCGGCCACTTCCCAGCAGCAGGGCTCAGCCTCATCCAGCCAGGGAGGAAGCTGGTGGGAGGGCGAGCAAGCTTTGCCTGAAACATTTTCCAGGCTTATTTTTTTCCCTTTTATATTAATCTGATTAATGTTAACATGAGTTTAAAGACTCAGGCTTTATTTATTAACAATCCTCATTTCCGATAAGCCCACTGAGGTGCAACCTCTCATTACCAGGGGACGTTTGCCAGCTCCATTAGCAGCACGTACAGAGAGAAACCCAGGGAAGACCTACAAGGGCTCAGAAGGCTTCCGAGGAAATAAATCCCAACACAAAACCAGATTTACTATTGCAGGGCAGGAATCAAGAGCTTTAGGCAACACCCGGCAGCACGTTCTGCTCTCTTTCCGATTCTCCATCGGTAGCAAGTGTGTGTGTCAGGGGAACAGATTTTCCTAGATCTGCCCTTTTTCTGTATGAATTACGAAGTGTGGGGATTTAACTCACAGGAAAGAAAAGAATGTCTTGCCTGAGGAGTCTGAGCGGGGTTGACTTAGAGACCAGGCTGAATGGTGGTTGCAAGGGAACACCCCCTGGGGGGGAAATCCCGGCCAAAGGGACACCGAGGACACACACAATGTGGCCAGGGAAGGTGGGGATGGACAACAGGCATTTCCCAAATTCCAGTGGAAAAGGTAAATTGGTCTGGGATTTGTGTCAGCTTAATCCAGACCTTTCATGTCAGAGAAGATCTGCCAGCTGCTAAGGAAAAGAATAATTTATTGTCCCTATTTTAAATTTAAATGACGAAAAAGTTTAGAAGACGGGTGTTTTAGAAACGGGGAAGGCTATGAAATGTGGCTTAAAAATTTTTAAAATTTAAAATAGCTCGTGCACGTTTGCAGCCGTGGCAGTCTCTTGGGTAAATACTGTATTAAGACAATTTTTTTGAAACTTTTATTATGTGGCCAATAGACCACAACGGCTCCATTTATCCATTAAATATGTAATCATACACTTTTTCTTTACAGTGCATGTTATTTACGCAGCAGAGCAGAACAAGTCCAGAAGTGCAATTATGGATATGGGACACGTGCTGCAAATGCTTATGAAAATTTGTAGGAAAAAAACAGAAACATGAGCCCTGGCTCAGAGAATCCATGCAGGAGCCTCCTGCTGACAGCAGCCCAACCACAGCCCTCTCTTAAAAACTGAAGACACTGCATATTTCTTGGGACATCCCCCGCCTCAAGGATATCTTGGCCCAGAGGCCTCCTCCCAAGCAGTTGCCCATTTCTTGTTGTCATTAAAAATCGGCGGTTTTACTTAAAAACTTTGCTGAATGTTGCTGGTTCTGACACCCTCTCACATCTCCAGCTCTTCCAGCCTTGGCCAGGAGGTTTTGCAGAAGGACATGTGTGACTATGATTCTCATGTGTGAGCCTGCTGACTGATGTCTGGAGGAGCAGGATCTGGCCCCATCCTTTGCCACTCACTAAATTTCTCTCCATTTCCCCCTTTTTTCTTGTTTTTAAAATAAATAGGGTTTTGGAACAAACGTGCCGGGCTGCCACCTCCCCATAACCCCTGCTCACAGCTCCCAATGTCCTCAGGACCAGAGAGGTTAAGCATTGGAAGAGCCATTTGTAGTCTCCAAATATAAAATATTTGGGGTGAAAATGAAGGCGAGAGGCTTGTGTGCAGCCCCAGTGTGACAACGGGGTGACAGTGGCCTTCGCTCCAGCTGGGGAAGGGGTTAGTCCCACTTTCCACTGCGAGACCCTGCCGACACGGAGTTCTTCTCGTTGGGCACCCCCAGGAGCTACTACTCCCCACCAAGAGAGTCTCAAGGAGAAAGAAACCCAGGAGCAGGATTCAGAGATGCTCCCCTGCAGCGAACTGTCTAATTAGGCAAGTAAATCACAGAATCACAGAATCTTCTAGGTTGGAAGGGACCTTAAAGATCATCTTGTCCAACCGTCAACCTAACTGACAAAAATAGACACCCACACAACAAACAAGGAGCATCATCACTAAACCAGACCTCCCAGCACTACATCAACCCGGCTTTTGAACACCTCCAGGGATGGGGCCTCAACCCCCTCCCTGGGCAGCCCATTCCAATGCCTGAGAACCCTTTCAGTGAAAAAATTTTTCCTAATATCCAGCCTGAACCTCATGATGAATGAAATTGTGATGATGGCAAACCGAAGTGAGAGAAGGTAACGAATGCCATTTTTTTCCCCCTGCAAAAGCAAACAACCTCTTCTCCCATGGCACATTGGTCCCATGGGATGCAACCCCTGCCATGGGCTCACGGGGGCTGTGCCCACCCACCAAGCACCCAGCATCCCCGCGGAGCCCGACGGAAGCACACAGGTAATTAAACAACTGAACGTGATTAGCTCCATCACCAGGAGGGGAGGCTCCGAGAGCCGGGTCCAATCCTGTCTCCATCCCAGGGAGATGATGGAGATGGAGATGGAGATGGAGATGGAGATGGGCGTTCAGCCC